AAAAAAAAAAAAAAAAACAGAGTAACTCGCCGGACATTAGTGCAATTCCGAAGATCGCCGGCTGAATCGAGAGCTTAGAAATCTTACCGGTAAACAAAGAATCTCGTACAATTTGCGGATTATGGAATGAGAAAACAAGGATTCAACCATGAAATAAACGCTGAAATGTCAGGCCAAAAAAAAACAAGGGAAATAATGTCGTCCTTAGGGTGGGGCCCCCACCGAGGTGTGAAAGTTTCGTGATTAGAATCAAAGCAACGCATGAAAGCATGACGCCAGCTTTTGAGAATTTGTTTTGATTTATTACTGTCGCTCGCTGATTATTCCTTTGGTCGGGTATTAACTGACCCGTTTTAGATACTGTTTGCAGGACCCGTTTTGAGAATTCGGGTCTAAGTGTTAGGCAGATTAACTCATCATACTATCTTAAGAAAAAATTATACTTTATATTATCAAATTATATACTTACGTTTATCTTTTTTTTTTTTTTTAAAGTATGATAATATTTAATGTAAGTATACATATCTTCAAAAACAAAAATATGTCATCCTAAAGTTAGACGGTGCTAACACGAGACCAACCTATAACAATATCAGACCACATGAACACAAACCCACACACGTACTAATGTGTGCTAAGCTAATTGTTCCGAGCACAGTTAGATTACACGAGCATGTACCATATAGATGTGTATTGATCTAACGGTTCGACCCCTGAAGTGGACAGTGAGCACGTCGACATGTTCGAAATTGAACTGAGCAGATTGGATATGGAAAATCTCAGGTCATGCGCTCGGGTTGGTCAGCATTGGACAGTGCAAAAGCCAAAAAGTTGATTTCTTTTTATTTTATTTATTTATTTTAAACTGTGGTCCTCATAGCGTCACGTTTCTTACACGTTGGTGCATTTGATGTTTGAATGTGCCTAACAATTTTCATATGTCATCAATGATGCATGTCTCTTATATTATAATGCTTTTTTTTTTTTTTCAAACGTTAAATATAAAAATAAAACTAAAAAAAAAAGATAGTGATCCAACTCATCAAACAATCTTCTTTGTTCTTACTCACATTGTGAAGGAAGGTCACGTTTGTTTATAAATTATTAATTTATATTCAAAATTTAACTAAATTGCAATATTTTTTATATTATTAATATAATTAAATAATATAAATTAATTATTATTACACATCATATCACCTTTAATTTACTATATTCATTCGCTCATATAATTTTAACTAACAATCATTTCAAATTATTTTTTTTATACTTTTACATTAAATCAACTTTAATTGTTTTATTTTAAATATCATTTTAATATAAACTTAATTTCATTAATAACTAACAATACCATATTTTTTAAAATTAACTATTATTAACAAAAACAACTCATTTTGAGCAATTTTATTCGTAAACAAGTACGCCCTAATAAAGAGTTTCCACAATGGGTCATTCACGCCAATAGTCCAACCCGTTTGCGATCCGGGTCGACCCGAATGAATCGGGTGTGGAATATGGGGCATGGAAGAGTGGTGGGTGGAGTTGTTGGGTCATATGAGGTGACGTGATGAAGTGAAAGAGCTGACGTGTGGAATGTGTTAGTTGGGAGGTGAAGTGGCATGCGTGACGCAATCAATGATGACATTATTCCCGTGTTGGCTTTTTTGCTAAAATGCGCATAACGTGATCCATGCCAGTCTGGAACGTGGGACCCACAGATTTGAGATTCGTACACAAAACTTTTGCATGTTAGAAGACTTTATTGGTTAATATAGTATATTATTCACGAAATTGAAATTTGTGGGTCTACTCATTGACCAAAAGGTGATTGGGTAATGCTAAATATGCTATTGAATTGAATGTTTTATTTTAAATTTTTTTAGAGCAATAAAAATAAATAATTTACATGTAATTTATTTTTTCAAAAATTTTAATAATATTGTGTATCATCATAGATATTTACAACATAAAAATAGACATATTTATAATTCTAAAATTTAGTGTAATTTAAAAATTATATATATATATATTATGTTAAAAAAAACAATCGGTTCAACCAATTATACATAGGTAGCCGGGTCACAACTGGATGAACGGCTTACTTCGAATTTGATCGATCTGATTGCAGATCGATCCAAATTACCAATCTAAATTGGATTGGGCCGGGTCGACTAGTGGGGTGGCTCCATGTAAAAAAAGACTTGACTGAGGTACATGAAAATTAATGTTAAAGAAAAATTTAAAGATCTAATCAGATAAAATTGTATCAAAACATGTCTATTCAGTAGATTTAGACTTTGAACTAATTTCGTCTTTTCCACATGTTGTTGAACTTTTCAAAATTCTGAATGATGAAGTGAAATTACTTACTCTAATAAGTTCTATAATTATATATTTTCTCTCTCGCATTTTTTTTTTTTTTTTTTTGGTGTGATCTAGGCCGCTTTTTATTTGATTCTATTGCATTTAGTTTCATTGGATGTTTGATTCATTCAGCTAGTTTTTTGTAATTTATGTATTTGTTAATATGAATCTAGTAATTCTAGAAAGATTAAAATTGAACCGCTGCATATTTAAAAAATGAAAATAATAAAATATTAATAATTTAGGTAATTAAGAAAATAAAAAATAATATAGCCGTTTTCCTTTTGTAAGTGTATATATATATATATATCCCCTATATATTAATACAGAATGCGCTGAGCCTACGTGGCTGTTTCTGGTGCTTCGGAATCCTATGTGGCAAAATTACATGCTTGGTTATTAGGTTTGGGTAAATTTTAATTTAATTCCAAACCAAAAATAATTAGGTTCGAATTACCATAAGTATGTTGATTATTTATAGTCATGTTACATGTATTAATTGTATTTTAATATCATTCCTTATTATAACTATTGAATTGTATATATATTTTAAAAGTTAATGACTTTTGTATTTTTTATCAGTTTTACATATGTAATATATCAAATTAATCTTCTTTTGATAAGCTTCGATTTAACATCCATATTGTATGTATAAAAAAATAATTTATATTTATCTTTATAACAATAAAATTATTTTTAATATTAATTAGAAAAATAAAATTATATATCAACTAATATATTTATATTTCAAGTAGTTATATGATATAAGTTATAAAAACTAATATAATATAACACATGTAAGTCATAAGTAACACATATCATTCTAAAATATATAGTAATATTTTTTTTTTTGTAAAAAGTAAATTAAATTTAATATAATTTTCTCATTAATTTTAAAATTTAAGAATAATTTTTTATCAAGTACCCGTGTAATACACGGGTATTGTACTAGTATATATATATATATATATATATTGATTGAGACCTATTGATATTATAAGCTTTGAAAAATTCTAAGAAGTTGCATTGAAATTGAAGTACTGGTCAAGAATCAATGATGTAATTTTTTTTTTTTTTTTTTTTTTTTTTTTTTTTTTTTTTTTT